TTATTAATTATGGCAATATTGTCTAGCAGCATTACCGACATTTCTAAGAATGTATTGGGCTCTTAGAAAACATTTAGGGGTAAATTAGAGCTAAATAACAGCATAGAACACTGAGAGCCAGGGCTAGTAGCTGTAAACAAACTTTACGGGATTGCAGGAAACTTGCTACACCTGTGGTAAGGGAACATCCGGCTAACTAAAATCATGCTGGACCATGGATGTTGCCAAACCAGAGAGTTCCAGACTACAGAGGTTCAACCTATACTAGAAAGCTGCTATCATGTCCCTTTCACTCTTCTCTTTTCCAAACTAAACAAACCCAATTCTTTCAGTCTTTCTCCATAAGTCACATGCTCATAGTGGTTAGTTCTAGTTGTACACTTTTACCTGCAGTATTTTAGGAACATACTTCCAAGAGCCAGGATTATGAAATACACAAAACTTGTGATGATTTTCAAATGAGTGGATGTATAATTGCTCCCATTTTTTATTTACAGTTGTTAAGATTCAACCTTACTGCTACCCATCTGGGTTGCACAAAAATAATGGAGCAAAGAAAAGAAGAGGCATTAATCAGAACTATGTAGCCTAGATAAGGTGGGGTCATATTTTTATACTTTTTTACTGGTCAGTAAGAAAGACAGGTATTTAGCAACAACTTACAACATGCACTCTGCCATGGCAAAATTAAACATCTTTAAGTTTACAGATGAACTTTCATAGAATTGTAATAAAAATGTCTACCCAATTTCCTACCTTAACCATTCATTACTTATTGCATACAAGGAGGGAAAAGGGATTCAAGGATCGCCTAGTGCAGCTCTGAGGTTTGGAGGGAAAGGAATTCCCTCCTAAAATAAATCCTAAATTCTATATTCCCCAAAGGCTTCTAATCTTGTCTCAGTTGCAAAAATTCACCCACAGCTGTCTTTCTGCAGTGACTACAAGTTTTGCTCAAGGAACTACTGGAGTAATAAGGAGTTTTCCCAATAGGAGTTGTATTGTGGAAGCTAGGTCTCAACCACGGTTCCCTCTATGTTTTTCTATCTTTGGGAGGAATAAATTTTGTTGTGTGCACTGAGGAATGTGCAAATGTGCATCACCAATAGAAACACCTGCTGTCCACTGTGAGTGCTCTGCTAATCAGATGGGTGGCACCTGACTCTCTTCTGGTCAGCCGCCTATGCACTCAGCTTACAGGGAACACTGGTATCAACTAGAGATGTAATGGGTACATCCACAAAGAGTCAGTTTCCACCAAATTTGCAGGTATCTGTCCACCCACACCCAGGCTATGTCTATACTCACAGCTTCTTGCGCGAGTAATATGCAAATGAGGCTAAGCATGAAATATCGCTGAGCCTCATTTGCATACCTAATGAGCCACCATTTTTTTCAGAAGAGGCTCTTGCGCAAGAAGGAGCGTCTACACTGCCCCTTCTTGCACAAGAAAAACCCTCTTGTGCAATAAGGGGCAGTGTAGACGCTCCTTCTTGCACAAGAGCCTCTTCTGAAAAAAATGGTGGCTCATTAGATATGCACATGAGGCTCAGCGATATTCCACGCTTAGCCTCATTTGCATATTACTCGCACAAGAAGCCGCGAGTGTAGACATAGCCAAATACCACTCTGGGGCTATTTGCCCTCTATATTCCCAACTCCCTTACTATGCCTTTCCCTGATATGGTTGCCCACATATGGTAGGGTGCATATGTGTAGGAAAGGGGTAGCCAATGGGAGAAGCAAGGAATTAGGAATCAAGATTTCTTGGTTTCTAGTATCAGCTTTGTTAGGGTACGTCTACACTACATGCCTCTGTCGGCAGAGGCATGTAGATTAGGGTTGTAGGCAAAGGTAAATGAAGCCGCGATCATTTAAATCGCGGCTTCATTTACATTTACATGGCTGCCGTGCTGAGCCGACAAACAGCTCAGCGCGGCAGCCATGTAAATGTAAATGAAGCCGCGATCATTTAAATCGCGGCTTCATTTACATTTACATGGCTGCCGTGCTGAGCCGACAAACAGCTCAGCGCGGCAGCCATGTAAATGTAAATGAAGCCGCGATCATTTAAATCGCGGCTTCATTTACATTTACATGGCTGCCGTGCTGAGCCGACAAACAGCTCAGCGCGGCAGCCATGTAAATGTAAATGAAGCCGCGATCATTTAAATCGCGGCTTCATTTACCTTTGCCTACAACCCTAATCTACATGCCTCTGCCGACAGAGGCATGTAGTGTAGACACAGCCTTACAGACTTGCTACATAGCCAGGCAAGTCACTGCATCTCTTTGTGCCTCACTTTACCCATGTGTAAAATGAGCCACAGTAATCTTTGCCTGCCTCCTCCTATGCTCCGAAGCTTAATCAACATCAGCAAAGCACTTGGGCTATGTCTAGACTGCAAGCCTTTTTCGAAAGAGGCTCTTTCAAAAGATACTTTCGAAAGAGCCTCTTTCGAAAGAGAGCGTCTACACTGCACGTTGAACTTTCGAAAAAGCGGCTTGCTTTTTCGAAAGAAAGCATCCAGTGAGTCTGGATGCTCTCTTTCGAAGAAGCCCTATTTACATTCAAGAACGCCTTCTTTCGAAAGAGGAACTTTCGAAAGAAGGCGTTCTTCCTCGTAAATTGAGGTTTACCGCCATCGAAAGAAAAGCCGCGTTCTTTCGATTTAATTTCGAAAGAACGCGGCTGCAGTCTAGACGCAGGTGAGGTTTTTTCGAAAAAAGGCTACTTTTTTCGAAAAAACCCCTGAGTCTGGACACAGCCTTGGAGATCTGTAAGTAAGAAGCATTGCATATAGAAGCAGAGTATTAACTTATTGTTATTACTTGTGAAGCTGGAATATAGGGAGTGGCTAAGACTCATTATAAGGTAGATTAAATTGCCCTCATCACAGAGGAACCCTCAAAAGGTGCTTTGGACCATTTAGTGCCCACTTTATGCCACAGATTTTGCTGATCTTACTCATGACTGTTACCACTTTGCTCTGTTAATCATCCCATTGATTGCAGAGAGATTCTTTGTAAAGTAAGATGCTATTCAACATAATCAAGGGCATCCAAATCTGGCTGTAAGTGGTGTGGAGAGCATTGGGCAGAACTTCTGTACTGAAATGAATTTTACCCTCTGTTCATTTCCTATTTTCATTTGAGAGAAAGGAGTTTTCTCTAGACACTAGGACCTACCTGAATATTGCACCTGAGCTGGTTGAATTACCCAGTGGCAACAATTTATCTGATGGATTTAGCTGTTGTTTCTGTTGGCTGGTTATCCTCAAACTGGTTGTGGATTTTTACAATATGAACATTTTTCAACATACTATGTGCAAACAAATTGCAGTCTATTTTGTTTATGGCTAGGTCACTATGGCTATGTCTAGACTACGGGGGTTTTGAGGGATACCTCTGGTACCGCTGCATCCAGGGAACACGTTTGCTCTCCCGTTTTTTGTTTTTTTTTTGTTTTTGCGAAACGTGCTCTTTCAGGGAGCCCTACATACCTCGTTTCATGAGGCATAAGGGCTCTGCTGAAAAAGGAGGCTTTTCTGCCATTTGGCCCTGCCTAGATTGGGCCAAATGGTGGAAAAGCCTCTTCCACAAAAGGGATTGGAAAAAGCTACGCAAATTGTGGAGCGCAGTTTGCGTAGTTTTTTCCAATAAAGCCCTGCAGTCTAGACCTAACCTATGAATATCTATGTACACGCTAGGGTATGTTTATACACCAGGGCTAAAACTGAAATAAACTACACAACTTGAGCTACATCAATTGTGTAGCTTAAGTCAAAATACAGGCAGTCCCCGACTTACGCGGATCCGACTTATGTCGGATCCGCACTTACGAACGGGGCTTTTCTCGCCCCGGAGCTTGCGGGCGGTGGGACCTCCCAGAGCACAGCGGTCCCGCCACCGTGTCCTCTGGGGCGAGAAAAGCTGCTCCGGGTCTCCCTGGTGTGCTGGGGGGGACTCTCCAGCACAGCAGGGAGACCCGAGCAAAGGTGGCGGGACCCCGCAGAGCAAAGCCGCACAGGCGGCGGGGTCCCCCGCCTCTGCGGCTTTGCTCCTGTCTCCCTGCTGTGCTGGGGGGGACTCCAGCTAGTGCGCCTCCCCCCCCGCCCCAGGAGAACAGGCTTTTGTTGCGGCACGCCTGGGATAGAGCAGCTGGGGTGCTGCCGGGTTGGTCCTGCGGGG